CTCAGCTCTGTCTCCAGCACCATTTCTGCCTGCACACCACCATGTTGCTCCATGATGGTAAATGAACTAACTAAACCTCAGAAAATATAAGCCACCCCAATTAATTGTTTTTCCTTTATAAAAGTTGCATGGTCATGCTGTCTCTTCACAGCAATGGAAACCTTAACTAAGACAGTCACACTTCAGAGGCAGTAAGCAAAACACCTCCCCTCATCTCCATTTCTAATCTTATTTCCCCTGAAAAGAAATCAGTCTCCTTGGAGAAATGGCTACTTGAGGAATAGGGCAGGAAACACTCAAGAAGAGCTGGTGCCCCTTGGCTACCAAAGTAAGAAAGAGCTAGAAAACCAGTAAGCCCACATTGATGGAGGCTTTCAAAGGACTGACTGAAGAACTTCCAACAGGTAAAGCTAGACTGTGGTAACAACATAAGACAGTGCTGGATTCTAACCCCAAACATAAGCCAAACAGACACTAGTCAATGCCAACAATGAACATGTGAATAAATGGAGGGAGAAAAAGACTAGAATCCAAGAAACTTACACAGATATTTCACCCTAAATGGGGGAACAGAATGTACCTCTGGTTAAGTGTGATCTTCTCATGAGATGCCCATGGTTAGGAAAAGGAGAGGAACTTGAAAGTGGAGAAACTGAGAGCCAGATGAATGTGAGCCTCAGCCGTCTCTGTCCAAGTGACAGCAGCAGCTTTCCTACAATTGCATACGACAGCATTTACCTCTATTACTAACTCCCCAAATCAGGTAACTCCATTCCCTTTGTGAGAAAAACAATAGACAAATTCAAACACAGAGAACCTTACAATATACCTGACGACTATCCCTCAACGTCACTAAGGACGATAGTCAAAACAAGCCTCAGAAAGCATCAAACCCAACAGCAGCTGCACGAGTCACAAACTCGCATGTAGCATGCTGCTGTAATTGACAGCCTGGAACCAAAGACAGAGGGGGCATGAGGGAAGAGCTAGGGACACAGGGATGGATTCAGAGTCAGTGTGTCTGTATCAATTCACTGACAAAAAGGAGTTTGGCAAATGAGTGCAGGAGGTATGCTGCAACTTTGCACTACCTTTGTAATTCTAAACTTACTATAAAAATTGGATTATTAAAATTTTTAAGATGCAATCAACAGGTCATTATAATCCAGAAAGAGAACCAAGAATGTACATGGCACTCATATATGGTAATGGAAAAGCTACAAACCAATGTGGAAAGCATGGAATCTGGGGGTCATTAATTCTAAGATGGTTGACAATCTGTGCGAGAAAAGAAGGTTAGATCTCTGCCTCACTCTTCATTGGAACTGCAGGCAGATCAAAATTGTGCAAAAACAAATCTTTACATTTATTCAAAGAAACCTGGGAGAATATATATGCTCTTGGTCAAGTGGAGACGTACTTAAGCTGAAGGGGGAAAAGCAATACCAAGATGTGCTTACATGATTTTCAACTCTGTAAAAGAAATGGGACTGTTTAAGGGGGGAGAAAAAAAAAAAAAAGACAAGTGGCCAACTAGAAGAAATGGCCAAAGGAATTAACATATAAAATGTAAAATGAGAAATTCTGCAAACCAATTAGAACATGGTAAGAAAACACAATAATGGAGAACGGGTTTGAGTAAACATATCCCAGACAGGAAAGTGCATTTAATGTTTTTCCTATCCAATGACAGCAACTACAAAGACTGACAGCACTGACAAGAATGTGGAGGCTGGGGGCTCTACTGCACCCAAACATGGCTAACTGGCTTAACAAGTCTGGAGGTCAACTTGACAGCATCTTCAAATGTGTGCATCTCTCCTGCTCATATTTACAAAAGGAGCAAAGATGGGAATTCCCTTTAGAGCACTGTGGGCCATGACATCGTGAAGTCATGTGAAACAGCGTGAGCCCACAGATGTTGCAGGTGTGCAGGACAGATGTGTGAATGAACATCATGACACACTTTATACATTCATACACTCCCTGCAAATAGCTCTCCAAGACAGCGTTCGCTGTACACAGCTACAGAACAGGGCTGGGATGTAGCTCAGAGATAGAATACTGGTCTAGCATGCACAGGGTTCTAGGAGGAGTCCCAAGCACTGCAAGAAGAAAAACAGAATAAAACAATCTGCAGCACATAATAAAATCTGTGATGTTATTGTTTGTTTTAAGAAGTCAAACATATGTTTTTCTGGTGCTATTAACCAAACCCTGATCCTCACACATGCTAACCATGAGCTCGACAACTGAGGTATGTGAACTGTTGAATGCACACACAACTCTTGAATACTTATCAAGCTGAGAAAGAAAGTGAGACTGAGGAGACAGGAACGTTTTCATGTTGATTTACGAAATTCACTTTGTTTTTTTCCTTAGTGGAATAAGCAGAAAGAGGAAGGTGGATGACTGCTAAGAGTTTCTCACAAAAAAAGGCTTTCTGAGGCTGAGGAAATAGATCAGAGAGTAAAACGCTTCCTGTGTAAGCACAAAGACCTGAGTTTGAATCCCTAACGCCTGCATAAAAAGCTAGACACGGTGCATCTGTGACTATGTGATCCCAACATTGTGTGTGTGTGCATGCACATATATGTGTACATGGGTGTGAGAGCATGAATGTGGCAGGGAAATAAGATAGATAAGGCTTGCTTGCTAGATGCCCAACAGCCTAGCCCCATCTTTGGTGAGAGACCCTACTTAAAAGGAATAGGACACAGAGTGATAGAGCAGGCTACCCACATCTTTCTCTGGTCTCCATGTGTGCATAAGGGCACACACCAAAACACACATTTGGATACCACAGATACACACAGCATTTTCCCAACTAACTACAGGCACCTAAAGTCAGGCACCTTTCTTATGTGATGTGGGCCCCCAACCATCAGTAAAGCTATAACCTTAATCTCTTGGAGACTCAATAGCAAGATAACATCAACAATGTTGCTAAGCAACATAACATTAGTAAACACAGCTTAAACTGCACCTGTACAAGAGGTCTAAGAAGGACTCTAAGCATCGAACACACACACACACACACACACACACACACACACACACACACACACACACACACACACCACTGTGGCTTCCCTGAGCGTACTGGGCTGGGAACAGGCATGTCTTCCAAGCCTGATGCAAATCTTTGGGCACACAGATTCAAAAACACCAGAAAGCAGGTATCATAGGTCAGTACATTTCTGCTCTCTATGACATGGCTGTGTAAAAAAAGCTCTTTGAAAATTTCATTCTATCCACACTACTTTCTGTGACCAATAGCTCTCAGTTATAAATGCTTGTTTTCAATAGCCTTTGAGTTATACACTATTAGCAATACTTTACTATCAATTAAGCTAACCCAATTTTGGTGAGTAGCAAAGTATAAAATACACTACACAACCACAGTATGCTTATGGCTAGAAAATAATTACCCCATCATTACAAAAAGTTCAGTTATCCATTTTACATAGTACAATAAAACATGGAACTATATAAAAAAAATTAACATCCTAAGAGAGAAAAAAACTAAAGCTTAGCAGAATTTAACAAAAAAAAAAAAAAGAAATTAAATTTCCTCACAACAAAAATAATCCACAGTTCAAGTCACTGGGAGGGGAAGTCACTGTAGATGGGCAGAGATCAGCCAGACTGCACTTGTGGAACATAAGCACTAATTGTGCTTAAACTGGAAATATTGTCATCTGCCAGGACAGCAACTGGAAAGGATAAATGCAGTGCTCATGGCTGAAATGGCTGGGGTGGAGACGGTTACCTCAGCTGGCAAGAGTCATGTGGGCCCTGAAATCAGGACACCACGCCATTGTGACACAGAGGACATTGCTTTCAATCACATTATAGGGTCCCTTCTTTTAAGGAGTCTTAAAACTTCAAGGTGTGGCCTGGGCATGGTGTTACTCTCAATACTCCTGGCCCTTGTGAGGCTGAAGCAGGAAGACTGTGCATAAAGGCTATTCTAGGATACAGAGCAAAACCCTGTCCTCAAATCAAGACAAACACAAAGAAAACACACAGCCTACTTCCCAACTGCACTCTTTCTTTTCTTTCTCTTTTGTGCTGAAGATTAAATCCAGTGCTCACACACCCTACTGGATTTCAGCCCTAGTCCCTCTCCCTTATTCTGAACAGTTCTAAAAAGCATCCAGGAATCCATTTGTAAACAGTGCTGACAGCAAGGAAGCTGACAACTGCTAAATTGGGTCAGAAAGGTGATTTTATATACATGATGATGTGTGTTTTGTTTCTACGAAATATTTATTCTAGAGACCTCTGAATCTTACAAGTGATGGGATTTCTTGAGTGTTCAGATGTCACTGTTGTTTTTAACATTTACTTATTTATGGTGAGTGAGGGTCACTACTGTGCATGGTAAGAGTGTGAAGGTCAAAGAATAACTTTCAGAAGAAGATCTCTTTCTACTATGTGGGTCCCAGGGATTGAACTCAGGTCATCTGGCTTGGCAGCAAGTGCCTTTACCCACTGGGTCACAGAACAACCCATTGTTTAGTTTTAATATAACTTCTTAATGATATGTAGGGACTTCCAGGTATATTTTATCCCTGGTGGTAGATTAAGAGAATAAAAACAGATAAATAAAATAGGAAGCAAGAAGTCCAAGCAAGTGTGGCAAAATTTCACGTCTTCTGTTAAATGTGACGGCAGTGTGGATGGGTATTACGGTATTTGCCAGAACACTGGGCATTCTCAAATACTTCATTTTAAGCAATTAAATGCACATGGTTGTTCCAAAAGCAAGACAAGGGTATGAGCACACAGCACCACCACCACCACCTGGAGAAGGAAGCCATCTAAATATCCCGCAGTGCTTCTGTCTAGTCTGGAGCTTATTGTGACTGGTTTTATGCCTCTTGGGTTGGTAACAGAGAAACAAATGTGGTTTGTTTGCACCCACAAGGCAATAGCCACTGGGAAAAATACTGAAGTAAGAATGTAGGGAAAAGTATCCCCTTGGGTTCTCATACCCATGTCGCCAGCAGATCCTGTGGACAGTGCTGGCATGCTGCAGGCTGCAGGCGTGTGGCTGCCCTCCACTCTCTTGCCTCGGGAAGCTCCAGGGAATTCAATGGTCTGCCACCACCACACTTCACCCGGGAGTCGTACGTCCTAGCCCCCTAGGAAGAAGAGAAACATTTAAACATTTATATATGTATAAAAAACCAATATCATTATATCAAACATCCTATCACTAGTTAAAACTTGTACTGGACACTATACCAGAGAGATCACAATTCTTCTACAGAATGTTTTCTGCAATGAAGGACTGATATTTAACAGGGGACTTTCTGATTTTGACGTGATTTCTAGCTGAAAACATGTTGCCTCTGCATGTGTCCAGGCTTCTGAAAGATTGTGACACTTGCTTCCAGGGCTGCTGATCGGATGCATCATACCTTTCAGAAGTCAGTTCCTCCCTCTCTTTACCCTAATTCTTGCTACATTTCCCAATGTGTAACAAAGACTATCTGAGTTACCAGAAAACTACAACTCTGTGTTTCTGTCGAGTTCATTCCAGTCCAACAGCTGCAAAGTTCTCTACTACAGGCTAGAGACAAATTTACTCAGCTAGAAGCAGGGCATTGATAAAGATACACAGAAGTGGTGGCAATATGAGCTAAACCTTCTTTTAGTAAAAGTTAAGCTGGATGCATCCTGGAAAAATGCATTGTTTTCAATAACAGGCATAAGTTTATCTCAAAATAAGCAGAAAAGGAAATATAGTGTAAAAGTTGTGCAAGGTTAACCCTGGCTTTACCTATAATCCAGCTGGTTCTAGGATCTTGGGTAACTTATTTAATCTTATTAAGCCTTAATTTTCTCATGTGCAAATGAAGACAATAACTTAGAACTGCATAATAATTAAATATGCCAAGGTATGCAACAATGCCTTGCATGGAGTAAACAAACAATAAAAGCTGCCGTGTGGTTGTTTATTTCTTTAATTCAGGCAATAGAATTATAAAATTAAAACATAAAAGAAAGCAGCAAGATTACAATCCCCCCAGCCTAGCACCTAAGAAAGAGCCCGCCATGTGTTTTAAATTTGAATCACTGCAGACTAACAACGGAAAATACACATCATTTACATTTTTGTTGAAATCATAACTACACAATGCGTTTTAGTACATTTCCCCCTCCCAATTCACCATACAGAAAATTCAGTCTTTTAAACGCATATTTTAACATATATTAAAGACAACAAGAAAAACAGACACCGTAAACACTGGAAAACGATTCACTTCGATTCCTACTAAATCGCTGATTCGTATCACAGGATCTCGGCAAATGAGCTTGCCAGCTTTTACTTGAGAAAAATACAACTGTTAAATTCCAGTAAAGCCTTCTAAATTAGCATTTTAATTGTCAAAGTGAAAACTGATATTTAAGAAATCCACCATCAAACAGACTTTCTTGGACTTGACTATCTGCTGTGATGTCTTGCCATCTGCTTTACATTATACCGAAGGCAAACACAGAGCACGCATAATACACACCCATACAGAGAGAAGTGCTAATTAAAAATAAGGCGGCAGTTATTTAAATTCCAAGTAAAAATGTAACTTACTGCACTAAAAATTAAAATGAAAGGAGAGGGCAAGCCGGGCTTCACTTGGGCCCAGCTCCCACATTGCTTTTTCTCCAGTAATCTCAAGAGGAAAATTTGCTTTGGTCTCATAAATTGTTCTAATCAGGATTAAGATTTAACTACTTAAGAACATTCCTTATGTAAAGCAGAGGACAGATGAAGTCATCTGAATACAAAAAGAACTCCAGAAAGACCACTGATAATAAAGAATACATTGTTAACGGACTTTGGTTTTACCAACAGAAAAAAGAAAGAAAACTATTTAAAACATATAAAGTGTATGCATACATATTTCTAGCATTAGGATAACACATTTTTATGAGGTAAGCAGATGCCGTGCTGCGCTGTGTGTGTGTGTGTGTGTGTGTGTGTGTGTATGTAACTTAGCTCTTTAGACCACAAGAAGTCAAAATGTGCATGCATAGACTGTCACCACATAAACAGAAATACACACATCCTACACGTCCTACCCCATGCAACCTCCCCCACCTTACACAACCTAAACAATCCACAGTGTTTCACATTTATGAACTACATATATCACCAAATTATATATACACTACAGATATAACCCAATTTATACTTCTATCAAAAAAACTAAAACTTGATAGAATGTGGTACACCCTCATTCCAGAAATACTGACAAAAACTTGACATCCCAATTCAAAACATCTTTTAAAGCCAGTGTTACCATACATGAAAGGACTTTGTGTTTTCATAATGAAAGTCAAGCTTGTCCAATTCTGGGCATTTATCACAAAGTAATAATCTTTTAAATATATATTACACAACATAATTATCTTCCTAGAATAGAGCAAATACATGAATTTAAAAAAAAAAACAGTTTGATATAATCCTAAATAGAAAGATGCTCAGCATTTTGTAGAATGTGTAATGTTGCTGGATTTAACTTTCAAATTGGGTTAAATTTTTGTGTAGTGATGTTATTTTCTTTGGCTAAATTGATTGAAAATGCTTTGGAATTCATCAGAACATAGCCTTAATTATTACTGACCGTTGTATGGAACCGATTTACTGCAACACAAAAATACCAGCTGGTACAGTATGTCCTGAGAGGGATTACTGGGTATTCTTAAATTGAAGTCCAATCCATCTTTCCATAAAAAAGAGAAAGCCCTGAATGCCAGGAACATAACAGCAGTATCAAATGCACCTGAGGCATTTACAATACCCAGCAGGACCATTACAGCTCTCCTTTAAAGAGGCTTATTTTTGAAATTTCACTATTCCAGTTGTACCTTACCTTCTATATATCACACTGTATCAGGTTTTCCTGGCATTGATCACGTGGAAACAGTGAACTACAAGAAGGTCTACGTGCTCACAATATTCAATTCTACCCAGGAGATAGTCAATGCTTCTGTAGCACTCCTGACACCCTGTGGCGGATTCCAGAAGTGCAAGCACTTGCAGGAGGATGGAGATGATCCTGCTGGAAAATGAGTGCTATGCATTCAAGACACATGAATGTTTCAGTACCCACATGGCAGTCCCAGGACAACTTTGGGGATTCTATTCTCTGCTTTCGCCATGAGTTACAGGGATCTAACTCAGTCCCTCAGGGTTACACAGCAAGCACACTTACTGAGCTATCTATCTCGCCAGCCCAAGTAGTTTTTTTTTTTTTTTATTTCTCAGCAAACCAAAAATTGGCTTAATTCGTCCATCAACATAGTTTCCTTCAAAAGTATTGCTTAATGTGAACACATACAGTGAAGAAAATAATAAATCAATTTCTACTTGGTGAAGCATTCCAAAACATGGAAGCATTTCACCACGTAACGATTATTAGCAGCCTGTTATTTTTGGGAGACAATGGCCATGACCAGTGACTTGACAGTTAGGCTTCCAATTCTGAATCTAACAGCGCAATGAAATAACCCAAATAAGAGTAATATCTACAATACAAATCTAAAATCACCAAACTTTAAAGGGCAATCTGAGAAATTCATTAGTTACATTAATTAATGCAAGCACACAGACAGATGTAAACACACAGTCTTCAGAGACATAGTATTAAGAATATGACAGAGCTATGCATCACAACTCTGCTTACATGAATTGGTGTTTAGGGTTGGGATGTTGCTGAGGAATATTAGTTTCAGATGTGTTACATTCGTTTATACTGAGGAATATTTGTTTAATGATGCAAAAATGTGTTCCATTCTTTTATATTGCATTTGTTTAACTCTGTGAAGCCATGTTACTTTGCCTGCCTAAAACACCTGATTGATCTAATGGAAAGGTGGATGGCCATTAGTTAAGCAGGAGAGGGATAGGCAAAGCTGCCAACCAGAGAGAATAATTAAGGAAGAACAAGAAAAGAGGGAGGAGTGAGAAAAGCAGAAGGAGAGGAGGACGCCAGGGGCCAGCCATCCAGCCACACAACCAGTAAGAAAGAAAGAAAAGTACATAGAATAGAGAAAGGAAAAGGCCCAGAGGCAAAAGGTAGACAGGATAATTTAAGTTGAGAAAAGCTGGCTAGAAACAAGCCAACTAAGGCTGGGCATTCATAAGTAAGAAAACATCTCTGTGCGTTTATTTGGGAGCTGGGTGATGAGCATCCAAAAGAGGAGGGAAAAAAAAAACATCGGATGTCTATCAGTCATGGGTAAGGCCCATGCCTTGACAGCTTGATGCCCTTTGCACATTCAAGCAAACAAAAACAGTGCGCATGCCGTACACATGAACAGTCCTCAATGCATGTCCACGGGCCTCTACAATCTCAAAGAGCTTGACAGAGGGGCCCATGAGGTTAGACTATGTTCAAAAATAATGCTGAAACAGCATTTCTCTTTTCCACTTTCAACATCCAGGTACCTCGGCATGAATCAGGACCATGAAAGCTAGTCTTCAGGAAGGGGACATTCAGGTCACCCCAGCTCAGAGGTCTCTGGGCTAGTTCTGAAGTACATGATGTCTGCAGCAATCAGGAATTACCTTCTATCTCTGGTGGGTGGGTGGGGGGGGGGGGGGTGGGGGGGGGAAACAGCCAAGGGCAACAGCAATAGGCTGTATGTTTGGGAAGTCTCAGACAGCCCTGGACAACAACTCAAAAGAGGGCTGCTTATGTATGATGCTGGGGTTTTTGTTAGGTAATTATTGGCTCTTGGAGGGAGAGCTGTCATCCTAGATGAGAAAAATGTATTAAAATTATATTATATTTATATATTAAATCACACATATTGTAGGGATCTGGGGAGGCAGTTTATAGTATGATTCCTTGTGGCTTTCTAAGCCATCCATCTTGCTATTTTACCTACCTCCTGCTATATGTAACTCCTCCTCCCTAAGGAGGCCCCTTTCTCATTCCCCTAGGAGATCACTGTATCCTGCCATTCCCCTTTACCCTCTCTTTCCCCCTTTTCTATATTTACCTCCTTAAGGAGCCCTTTTCCCATGTCCCTATGATTACTTACACACTGGTATTCCCCTCTCTATTGCTTCCCACCTCCACCCCCACCCCTGGCCACTGCCATCCTGACAATGGTCT